TAATTTTTTTGTATTTAGTAGAAATGTGGTTTCACCATGTTAGTCAGGTTGGTCGCAAACTCCTGACCTCAGGTGATCCACCCACCTTGGCCTCTCAAAGTGCTGGGATTACAGGTGTGTGCCACTGTGCCCAGCCACTTTTTTTTTTTTTTCAGACGGAGTCTTGCTCTGTCGCCCAGGCTGGAGTGCAGTGGCGCCATCTTGGCTCACTGCAACCTCCGCCTTCCGAGTTCAACCGATTCTCCCGCCTCAGACTCCCAGTAGCTGGGACTACAGGTGCCCACCACAGCCTGGTGCGCTGGCTCACACCTGTAATCCCAACACTTTGGGAGGTCGAGTTTGGCAGATAACCTGAGGTCAGGAGTTTGAGACCAACCTTGCCAACACGGTGAAACCCCCGTCTCTACTAAAAATACAAAAAATTAGTCAGGCGTGGTGGCGCACGCCTGTAATCCCAGCTGTTCAGGAGGCTGAGGCAGGAGAATGGCTTGAACCCAGGAGGCGGAGGTTGTAATGAGCTAAGATCGAGCCGCTGCACTCCAGGCTGGGCGACAGGGCGAGACTCTGTCTCAAAAAAAGAAAAAAAAAAAAGTAAACGCACGTTCCCTTTAACCATGGGAACCCAAGGGGCATTCAGCCTGTGGCGTGACCAGGCGGCCTGACTTGAGCTCACATAGAAATTCGGCATTTTTGAACCAACAGACAGTACTTGGGATCCCGAATGTCTGGACTTGGGCACAGGGCTGTAGAGCTGGGGCCGTTGGGAGCCATGCTAGTTCTAGGTCGGTAGGTCACCTCAGAGGTGGGGAAAAGATTCTCTGAGACCGACATGGGGGCTAGCGCAGGCACCACCGGACATAGGGCATTTCAGACAGAGGGCGAGCACATTTCCTAGTTACCAGGGTTCACTCAAGTCACGGTCACGTCACAGTCTGGCAATGGGCTAACCTCACCTCAACAATCACATGGGGCTTGCCTCATAGAATGTTCTAGAAAGAGGAGGCTGGCGCAGGCACCACTGGTCTCAGAACCCTGAACATTCCTTCCCCCCGCCTGCTCCCGCCACAGCCCGGGCTGTTATGGGGGAGGGGTTACCATTTAAAGCAAAAAAAAAATGCGCCACAGCACCTCCCCCCTTGCTTTACGGTTGCGGCTGCACGTGCCACGTGCAGCATCACCCCGTGACACATGCCGCACCACACAGCTAGTGCCGGAACTTTTTGCACATAGAAAGAAGACCCTGCACCCGCGCGGAGGGAGCCCTTTTGGCATTGCTAGCATGAGAGAAGATGAGAATGGGACTACTTTCAATAACTTTTGCACATGCAAGTCACAAACATTCCAGATCCCTTGAATTGCTTGCGGAAGAAGCGGCGCGCGGAGGGAGCGGCACGCGGAGGGAGCGGCACGCGGAGGGAGCGGCACGCAGCACGCGGAGGGAGCCAAGCCGACATCACATAAACGCGCTGAGCAGCACGCCGGCACCATTCGCTCTTCAGACGCCGGAGAGTTCTGACTGGGTCTTCGGACGCCTAAGGGATTGGATTAATGGCGGATGCTGAGGCGAGCGCTGAGTTGCCGGAGGAGGCCAGACCCGACGGGGGCACTTTGCAGGTGCTGAGAGATATGGCCAGCCGCTTGCGAATCCATTCCATCAGGGCTACATGCTCCACGAGCTCCGGGTAAGTTCTCGTTGAAGTCTGGGTCGTGCAGGGGCCACGGGCCCGGTGGCCATGACGCCGTGTGGTGAAGGGAGAGCCCTCAGAGGCGCAATGGGCTCTGTCGTAGATGCCCTGTCTTGGGCTGTTGGGGCGGGCCGAGCACCCTAGATGGCGGCGAGGCACTCTTCCCGCCAGCCCAAGGGTCGGTCGGTTGGTCAGTCGGCCGGTCGGTCGGCCACAGGCTCTGGAACCCGCCCCTCATTTACCCCCGGCCGAAGTTCTGGAGGTCCCCAAGATCCCCAGTTGGGAGGCAAGGATCCAGACCGGACTGAGGTGGCAGAGGGATGTTGTTGGGATCAAATCGGGCTAGTTGTGGTTTTCATTTTAGCGGGGAGCATGGCTTCCCGGGTAAGCAGTTGTAGTGGATCCCTGAGGGTGAATGAGCGACTCTAACCCAGGATGTGAGGAGAAAAAGCAATTAAAATTCTAACCTGGGCAACGTGGTGAAACGCCGTCTCTTACCAAAAAATGAAAATAAAAAATGAGTTGGGCATGGGGGCGCGCGCCTGCACTCCCAGCTATTCGGGAGGCTGAGGTGGGAGGGTTGCTTTTTGTTGGATTTGCTGGTATATGTGGTTGATGGTTTTTGCATCAGTTTGAGGGATATTTGTCTCTAGTTGTATTGTAGTATTTGGTTTTGGTATCAAAGTGTAATGCTGGCTTCATAGGATGTTTCAAAGTGTTCCATCTTAAATTTTTTGGAGTGGCCGGGTGTAGTGGCTCCCACCTGTAATCCCAAGCACTTAGGGAGGCCGAGGCAGGCGGATCGTGTGAGCCTAGAAACTAGTTAGAAATCAGCCTGGGCAAGATGGCGAGCCTCTGTACAAAATGTTACAAAAATTAGCTGGGCGTGGTGGCACGTGCCTGTAGTCCCAGCTACACGGGAGGCTGAGAGGGTCAGGTTTCAGTGAGCTGAGATTGCGCAACCGCACTCCAGCCTGGGCGAGAGCCAGACTCTGTCTCAAGGAAAAAAAAGTTAAACCTAGCTGAGCGCGGTGGCTCAGGCCTGCAGTCTCAGTACGTGGGGCCTAAGGCGGGAGGATCGCTTGAGCCCAGGAGTTCGAATTCAGCTTGGGAAACAGTGAGACCCTGCCTCAAAAAAAAAAAAAAAAAAAATTAAAGTAAAAGAAACTGGCAATTGAGTACGAATTGGAACAAAAATTAGCTGTTGGATTTGCTAGTATGCAGTTGATGGTTTTTGCTTCAGTATAAGGGATATTGGTCTATGATTCTTTTTGTTTGTTTTGGTTTTTTGTTTGTTTTGAGATGGAATATCACTCTGTCCCCCAGGTTAGAGTTCAGTAGTGCAGTCTCTGCTCACTGCAAGCTCCACCTCCCGGGTCGACACCATTCTCTTGCCTCAGCCTCCCGAGTAGCTGGGACTATAGGCACCCGCCACCACGCCCGGCTAATTTTTTCTATTTTTTAGTACAGACGGGGTTTCACCGTGTTAGCCAGGATGGTCTCGATCTCCTGACCTCGTGATCACCCACCTCGGCCTTCCAAAGTGCTGGGATTACAGGCGTGAGCCACCGCGCCCGGCCTGGTCTATGGTTTTATTGTAGTGTTTGCTTTTGTTATCAAAGTGTAATGCTGGCTTCATGGGATGAGTTTCAAAGTGTTCCATCTTAAATTTTTTGAAAGGTCGGGCGTGGTGGCTCCCACCTGTAATCCCAGCACTTTGGGAGGCCAAGGCAGGAGGATTGTGTGAGCCATGGTATATTTTGATGGGAATTGCATTGAATCAACCTGGGCAAGATGGCAAGCCTCTGCAGAATGTTACAAAAATTAGCTGGGCGTGGTGGCACGTGCCTGTAGTCCCAGCTACGCGGGGGACAGAGTTTGCAGTGAACTGAGATTGCGCCACTATACAACAGCCTGGGCAACAGAGGAAGCAAGACATTGTAGAGAAAAAAAAAATTTTTTTTGAGGAGTTTGAAGAAGATTGTTGTTAATTTTTCTTTAAATGTTTGGTAATAATTGCCTATGAGGCTTTTATTTATTGGGAGTTTTTTTTATTACTGCTGTAGTCTCCTTACTAGTTAGTTGTAGGTCTATTCAGATTTTCTTGTGCTGATTAAGTTTTGTGAGGCTTTCTGTTTCTAGGAATTTATCTATTGTAGGTTAACCCATTTGTTGGCATGCAATTATTCATAGTACACTGTCACCTTTTTTATTTCCGTAGAAGCGGTATTAGTGACCCCACTTTAACTTGATGAATTTTTTTTTTTATTTTTGAGGCAGGGTCTTGCTCTTTCACCCAGGCTGGAGTGCAGTGGTGCAAAAATAGTTCACTGCAGCCTCGAACTCTCCTGGGCTTCAAGCGACTCTCCTGCCTCTCAGCCTCTTGAGTAGCTGGAACTACAGGTGCACACCACGGTGCCCTGCCCATCTATTAATAGCTAGTTTTGTCGACCTTTTATAAAGAACCAGCTTTGGCTGGGAGAGGTGGCTCATGCCTGTAATCTCAGCACTTTAGGAGGCCAAGGCAGCTGGATCGCTTGAGCTCAAGAGTTCAGGACAAGCCTGGCCAACATGGGGAAACCCCGTCTCTGCCAAAAATACAACAATTGGCTAGACATGGCAAGCACCTATAGTCCCAGCTACTTGGAAGGCTGAGGTGGAAAGATTGTTTGAGGCTGCAGTGAGCCATATTTGTGCCCTACACTCCAGCCAGGGTGACAAAGTGAGACTCTGTCTCAAAAAGAAAAAAAAATTGGTTTCACTGATTTTTTCTATTTTCTTAGTCTGTTTTATTTGTGCTTTGATCTTTTTAATTTCTTTCTCCTGCTAGCTTTGAGTTTAGTCCTTAAGTTGTAAAGTTAGGTTGTTGATTTGAAGAGTTATTTATTTATTATTACTTCTTGAGACAGAGTCTTGCTGTGTCGCCCAGGCTAGAGATAGAGTTTCTCCATGTTGGCCAGGCTGGTCTCGAACCCCTGGCCTCAAGTGATCTGCCTGCTTCGGCTCCCAAAGTGTTGGGATTACAGGTGTGAGCTACCACACCTGGCCAGATATGAGGGGTTTTAAAAAATGTGTTTACAGCTATAAATGTCCCACTTGGCACTGCTTTTACTGCATCCCATAGGTTTTGGTATTTTGTGCTTCTGTTTTCATTTGTCCCTAAAGGATTTTTCTTTTCTTTTTTTTTTTTTTTTGAAACGGAGTTTTGCTTTTGTTGCCCAGGCTGGAGTGTAATGGCGCGATCTAGGCTCACCGCAACCTCTGCCTCCCAGGTTCAAGCAATTCTCCTGCCTCAGCCTCCTGAGTAGCTGGGATTACACGCATGCACCTCCACGCCCAGCTAATTTTGTATTTTTAGTAGAAACGGGGTTTCTCCATGTTGGTCAGGCTGGTCTCGAACTCCCAATCTCAGGTGATCCATCCACCTCGGCCTCCCAAAGTGCTGGGATTAGAGGCATGAGCCACCGCACCCAGCCTCTCATTTTCTTTTTTTGATTTTAGTACTTTTAGGGGTATACGTGGTTTTTGATTATGTGAATAACTTCTATATTGGTGAATTGTGAGATTTTAATGTACCCATCACCCAAGCAGTGTACACTGTTCCCAACATGTAGTCTTTTATTCCTCACTTCCTTCCTACCCTCCCCCTTTACTCTCCTCCCCAAAGTCCATTATATCACTCCAGAGCTTAGCTCCACTTACAAGTGAAAACATACAGTATTTGGTTTTCTATTCCTGAGTTACTTCACTTAAAATAATGGCCTCCAGCTCCACCCAAGTTGCTGCAGAATACATTGTTTTTCATATCTGAGTAGTATCCATGTTGTATATGCACCACATTCTTTATCCACTCATTGGTTGATGGGCACTTAGGTTGGTTCCTTATCTTTGCAGTTGTGAATTGTGCTGCCTATAAACATGTGTGTGCATGTACCTTTTTCATATAATGACTTTTTTCCTTTGGGTAGATAGCCAGTAGTGGAATTTCTGGATTGGATGGTAGATAGATGGTAGATCTACTATATTTCGGTTTTTTGTCTTGTTTTTTTTGTTGTTGTTGTTTTTTGTTTTGTTTTGTTTTGTTTTCGTCTTGAGATGGAGTCTTGCTCTGTCGCCCAGCCTGGAGTGCAGTGGCAAAATCTTGGCTCATTGCAACCTCTGCTGCC